CCATGACAGGAGAACCATAATGTGTGTGTGAAGGACCATGACAGGAGAACCATAATGTGTGTGTGAAGGACCATGACAGGAGAACCATAATGTGTGTGAAGGACCATGACAGGAGAACCATAATGTGTGTGAAGGACCATGACAGGAGAACCATAATGTGTGTGAAGGACCATGACAGGAGAACCATAATGTGTGTGAAGGACCATGACAGGAGAACCATAATGTGTGTGTGAAGAACCATGACAGGAGAACCATAATGTGTGTGAAGGACCATGGCAGGAAAACCATGGTGTGTGCGAAGGACCATGACAGGAGAACCATAATGTGTGTGCGAAGGACCATGATACGAGAACCATAATGTGTGTGAAGGACCATGGCAGGAAAACCATGGTGTGTGCGAAGGACCATGACAGGAGAACCATAATGTGTGTGAAGGACCATGGCAGGAAAACCATGGTGTGTGCGAAGGACCATGACAGGAGAACCATAATGTGTGTGTGAAGGACCATGATACAAGAACCATAATATGTGTGCGAAGGACCATGACAGGAGAACCATAATGTGTGTGTGAAGGACCATGACAGGAGAACCATAATGTGTGTGAAGGACCATGACAGGAGAACCATGGTGTGTGTGTGAAGGACCATGACTTGAGAACCATGGTGTGTGCGAAGGACCATGACAGGAGAACCATAATGTGTGCGAAGGACCATGATAGGAGAACCATGGTGTGTGCGAAGGACCATGACAGGAGAATCATAATGTGTGTGAAGAACCATGACAGGAAAACCATGGTGTGTGCGAAGGACCATGACAGGAGAACCATGGTGTGTGCGAAGGACCATGACAGGAGAACCATAATGTGTGTGACGGACCATGATAGGAGAACCATAATGTGTGTGAAGGACCATGACAGGAGAACCATAATGTGTGTGTGAAGGACCATGACAGGAGAACCATAATGTGTGTGAAGGACCATGACAGGAGAACCATAATGTGTGTGAAGGACCATGACAGGAGAACCATAATGTGTGTGAAGGACCATGACAAGAGAACCATAATGTGTGTGTGAAGAACCATGACAGGAGAACCATAATGTGTGTGTGAAGAACCATGACAGGAGAACCATAATGTGTGTGTGAAGGACCATGACAGGAGAACCATAATGTGTGTGTGAAGGACCATGACAGGAGAACCATAATGTGTGTGAAGGACCATGACAAGAGAACCATAATGTGTGTGTGAAGAACCATGACAGGAGAACCATAATGTGTGTGTGAAGAACCATGACAGGAGAACCATAATGTGTGTGTGAAGGACCATGACAAGAGAACCATAATGTGTGTGTGAAGAACCATGACAGGAGAACCATAATGTGTGTGAAGGACCATGACAAGAGAACCATAATGTGTGTGTGAAGAACCATGACAGGAGAACCATAATGTGTGTGTGAAGAACCATGACAGGAGAACCATAATGTGTGTGTGAAGAACCATGACAGGAGAACCATAATGTGTGTGTGAAGAACCATGACAGGAGAATCATAATGTGTGTGTGAAGGACCATGACAAGAGAACCATAATGTGTGCGAAGGACCATGATAGGAGAACCATGGTGTGTGCGAAGGACCATGACAGGAGAATCATAATGTGTGTGAAGAACCATGACAGGAGAACCATAATGTGTGTGTGAAGAACCATGACAGGAGAATCATAATGTGTGTGTGAAGGACCATGACAAGAGAACCATAATGTGTGCGAAGGACCATGACAGGAAAACCATGGTGTGTGCGAAGGACCATGACAGGAGAACCATGGTGTGTGCGAAGGACCATGACAGGAGAACCATAATGTGTGTGACGGACCATGATAGGAGAACCATAATGTGTGTGAAGGACCATGACAGGAGAACCATAATGTGTGTGTGAAGGACCATGACAGGAGAACCATAATGTGTGTGAAGGACCATGACAGGAGAACCATAATGTGTGTGAAGGACCATGACAGGAGAACCATAATGTGTGTGAAGGACCATGACAGGAGAACCATAATGTGTGTGAAGGACCATGACAGGAGAACCATAATGTGTGTGTGAAGAACCATGACAGGAGAACCATAATGTGTGTGTGAAGAACCATGACAAGAGAACCATAATGTGTGTGTGAAGAACCATGACAGGAGAACCATAATGTGTGTGTGAAGAACCATGACAGGAGAACCATAATGTGTGTGTGAAGAACCATGACAGGAGAACCATAATGTGTGTGTGAAGGACCATGACAAGAGAACCATAATGTGTGTGTGAAGAACCATGACAGGAGAACCATAATGTGTGTGTGAAGAACCATGACAGGAGAACCATAATGTGTGTGTGAAGGACCATGACAAGAGAACCATAATGTGTGTGTGAAGAACCATGACAGGAGAACCATAATGTGTGTGTGAAGAACCATGACAGGAGAACCATAATGTGTGTGTGAAGGACCATGACAAGAGAACCATAATGTGTGTGTGAAGAACCATGACAAGAGAACCATAATGTGTGTGTGAAGAACCATGACAGGAGAACCATAATGTGTGTGTGAAGAACCATGACAGGAGAACCATAATGTGTGTGTGAAGAACCATGACAAGAGAACCATAATGTGTGTGTGAAGAACCATGACAAGAGAACCATAATGTGTGTGTGAAGGACCATGACAGGAGAACCATAATGTGTGTGTGAAGGACCATGACAAGAGAACCATAATGTGTGTGTGAAGAACCATGACAAGAGAACCATAATGTGTGTGTGAAGAACCATGACAGGAGAACCATAATGTGTGTGTGAAGAACCATGACAAGAGAACCATAATGTGTGTGTGAAGAACCATGACAAGAGAACCATAATGTGTGTGTGAAGAACCATGACAGGAGAACCATAATGTATGTGTGAAGAACCATGACAAGAGAACCATAATGTGTGTGTGAAGAACCATGACAGGAGAACCATAATGTGTGTGAAGAACCATGACAAGAGAACCATAATGTGTGTGTGAAGAACCATGACAGGAGAACCATAATGTGTGTGAAGGACCATGACAGGAGAACCATAATGTGTGTGAAGGACCATGACAGGAGAACCATAATGTGTGTGTGAAGAACCATGACAGGAGAACCATAATGTGTGTGTGAAGAACCATGACAGGAGAACCATAATGTGTGTGTGAAGAACCATGACAGGAGAACCATAATGTGTGTGTGAAGAACCATGACAGGAGAACCATAATGTGTGTGTGAAGAACCATGACAGGAGAACCATAATGTGTGTGTGAAGAACCATGACAGGAGAACCATAATGTGTGTGTGAAGAACCATGACAGGAGAACCATAATGTGTGTGTGAAGAACCATGACAGGAGAACCATAATGTGTGTGTGAAGAACCATGACAGGAGAACCATAATGTGTGTGTGAAGAACCATGACAGGAGAACCATGGTGTTTCATAGTAAGAAAGATTATTAACGTAATACATAAATACAGTTACATAGATTATTATATATATCAGCATATATATATATAGAGAACCCAGAACAACCCCAAAAAGTCAGACAGAGTGACTTATTTCCAATAATGTAGTTAGACAAAACCTCGTCCTGCCTGATACATACGTTAGCTAAAAGTTTATTTAAGTACAGTTCCACTTAAACACAGTTAAACAAATTATCATACATAGTAATATATATGTAAATTACCTACGATAACCCTCCTCCCCCCTAAAAAACAAAAAGTCGAAGACCTGTTTCCATTGTGGTCCTGGCAATATCTTATTAATTAAACCCTAAAACAGCTAAGTATGCTAGAACATTGTTACACGGACCATGAACTGTGTGGTGAAATATACTGGCAGCACACATCGTCTTGCTTTATCTTTATTTACTACAAGTACATGTATAAGGTATATAGGATACAGGTCTAGCTGACATCAATGACATACTACTATATAGAAAAACGCTTGTTATGCAGAGCATTTCGGGTAAATTATGTCAGTGTCCCAGGATGCGACCCACACCAGTCGACTAACACCCAGGTACCCAATTTACTGATGGTTGAACGTAGACAACAGGTGTACAGAAACACGCCCAATGTTTCTACCCTAACTGGGAATCGAACCCAGAACCTCGCCGTGTGAAGCGAGAGCTCTACCCACCAGGTCACCAGAGCCTCAGCCCAACATGCCCCGGCATGATAGTGGCTTTCTTTGTATTTAACGAATCAAAATTGTAATTACACATCGTAACCTTTGCAAAGAAATAAAATATAGGTTACCATGTATGATAATTTGTTTAACTGTATTTGTGTTGACCTGTACCTATACAAACTTACTTACTTAACAATAACAACAACAGCTGTATTATACAAAGGTACAAAACTGTACCTTGATGCTGGTTGCTCACTAACACTCTATCTTATTTTCGTGATAAAAGAATATTATACAGCTCCTATTATGTCTGAATAAATTATTGTAAATCATTCGTTATTGGGCGCGTTTGTCCATCCTTGTGAATTATGTGTAATGCGTAAAACTTTTAGTAAAAAAATATTTTAATTTTAGACGCAAACTAATCTGGAGGTACAATTTAAAGGTCTTGCTAATATGTCAGGAAGGGGTTTAAAAATTAAAATGTGAATGGTTAAGGATTTTGCGTATTGGTTTTAAGAGCTGATAATTTACAATAAACCTGGGCTGTCATTCTAAGGTGCAGAAAAAAAAAGTTTAACAAAATATTCTCTTAATTCTTTCTTGCGACAAGGCGTCGGCAGGGGTTGTATGCGAAATAGTGCGCATCACCCTGACTTCGTTTAACTAATCTCATCTGTTTTAACTTGAGTAAGACTTTTTTTAAACCATTTGCGTAATTTATTTAACACACACATAAGACGCTTTCTTTAAGAATTGTTTGCTTCGTATACGTTTATAATTATATTTTGTTTATATAAGGCCGAGATACAAAAGGATAGATTTCGGATGAGGTGTTTACCTGTGAGAGACCAGCTGTGGCGTCGTCAACATTGTGTCGTCTGCCCCTGATTATCTTTCCTCTACCTGCACACTCAGCCTCGTCATTACTCACACCACCTGGTAAAATTGTCATCTACATTGTCAATGTTAATTGTTTAGCGTAAATACAGTTGTTGCTAAGGTTGTATGAGTGGCGTCCATTGTGTGAGTGCGATGACCCCTCCCAAGACCCAACAAGCGTCCCTTCCCCCTTGATGCTACACCCCCCTTGATGCTATACCCTCCTTGATGCTATACCCCTTGATGCTATACCCTCCTTGATGCTGTACCCCTTGATGCTATACCCCTTTGATGCTATACCCCCTTGATGCTATACCCCCTTGATACTATATCCCTTGATGCTATACCCTCTTTGATGCTATACCCCTTGATGCTACACCCCCTTGATGCTATACCCCCTTGATGCTACACCCCTTGATGCTATACCCCTTGATGCTATACCCCTTGATGCTATACCCCTTGATGCTGTAACCCCTTGATTCTATACCCCTTAATGCTACATCCCGTTGATGCTATAACCCTTGATACTATACCCCCTTGATTCTATATCCCTTGATGCCATACCCCTTGATGCTGTACTTCTTGATGCTATACCCTCTGATGCTATACCCCTTGATGCTATATTCCTTGATGCTATACCCCCTTGATGCTATACCCCTTGATGCTATACCCTCTTTGATGCTATACCCCTTGATGGTACACCCCCTTGATGCTATTCCCTCTTATGCTATACTCCTTGATGCTATACCCCTTGATGCTGTACCCCCTTGATCCTATACCCCCTTGATCCTATACCCCCTTGATCCTATACCCCATTGATCCTATACCCCCTTGATCCTATACCCCCTTGATCCTATACCCCCTTGATCCTATACCCCCTTGATCCTATACCCCCTTGATCCTATACCCCCTTGATCCTTTACCCCCTTGATCCTATACCCCCTTGATCCTGTACCCCCTTGATCCTATACCCCCTTGATCCTATATCCTTTTGATATTACACCCTCAGGATGTTACACCACCTTGATGCTGCACCCTTTGATACTACACCATTTTAATGGAACACCCGCTTGATGTTACACCCCTTTGATGGAACACCCAGTTGGTGCTACACCTCTTCACCTTGATGCTACATTCCCTTGATGGAACACTCCTTGATTCTACACTCACTTGATGGTACACTACCTTGATACTACACCTCATATTCTACATCCGTTGATTCTACACCTGTTTGATGCTACTTGAGCTTTAAAAGATACATGAGCAAACACGAGAATATAAAATAGCCTCATCTCACACACTGAGGAGTCCAGGATTGATCCCAGCATGGGTGAAACATTAGGCATGTTTCCTTAAACCTGCTGCCCCTGTTCACTTAACAATAAGTAGGTACCGGATGTTAGTCAACTGTTGTGATTTCCATAATGTATGCCAGTAATATCAACTAGGTCTGTATCAGTTTTATCCAGTACTTTGTAGAAATAAAGATTTATTATTAGTAGTAGTAGTAGTGGTGGTAGTAATTTTTTTAAAAAATTTGATTCTAGCATTAAAAATCCATTCAAAGACACTCTTTTAAACATCTACTTGACTTGGTGACAAATTTTACAAAGGTTAAATTTCTTTGGACCTGAGCACAAGGACTGGCTGACACAGAGGTGCTTGCCAAAGAGATGACACAAATGTCTGTACTATTCACTGAAACACAGAGAACCATCTGATGAACTTCCCTATTACCAAACTAGTAATCAAATAAGCATATAGATGGAGCCAACTATGCCTAGAATCTGCTCTGATTGCCATAACTAACATCATCACACATAAATCAGGTTCATTCCTAATTTCTAAAACAATGGCCAAACTTATTCTCACCATATATTACACCTATTACATAAACTATATGAAGAGGCATTGAAGTTGGCCTACCATCTAAGCAGCATTACTGCAGGTGACATCACCCGCCCATCTCTACACCTTGCATATCTCTGGTACAGTATATACTGTATATGCTCTCTTTTTACCCATCTCTGTGAAAATTTATTAAGACCCTTGTAGATGAGACATCTTAGTAAAATGTCATCAACTGCATGTTGCATCTTATTAACATACTACCTGTTAATATAGTCTACCACTGAGATGCAACTCAAGCCTCATTTTGTGCACTCCTTGCAGTGAATGACCCACTTGCAATTATTGCTTCTCGTAAATTTTAAAAAATACATCCACTTAATGCTATACTTCTTTGATGCTACACTGTCTAGACACTACACAGCCTAGACACAACATCCCTTTCTCTTCCTTAGAATGCATCCCAAAACAGTTGATTAACTCTTAGGTACCTGTAAGAAAATGTTATGTATGTACTGATCAAAACATTTAATAATGTTTTAATATGTACAGCTTGTCAGTATCAACATACTAATTTCATACTAGATATACTGTATATCTAGTTGCTTCTAAGTGAGGAAAAACGGAAAGTGCAAGGAGACTTGCACCACACTCAGTTGTGAGGTATTACTTCATATATCAAGAGTGTAATTCTGTACATTCTTAATTCAGCATTAACATTGCAGATTGATAACAACAATTGCTGTAGCTAACCTCTAAGTATATCCACTACTTAACTCAGCAGCTGTGTCACTGTTTGTGGTCTAGTCTGTACTCTCTATATACAGTCTGTGGTTCCACTACAACATCAACTTTGTATAAGCTACAACAAGAACTAGACATCCACCACCCAGCACAACATCCTCAGATAGCTTCTATTGCTATAGACCTTTGAAGCATGGTAAGTTAAACCAGTGGTAAGAGGTTGTTAGTTTAAAGTCCACAATAAAGTTGAAACTTTTAGTTCTGTTGATTCTCCACACATGATAAATGTCTAAAAAAAAAAAAAAAAAAAGTTTTTGACATCTTGCATTTAATTACTGTATCTTTTTACCTACATTGTCTGTATATAATGTGGTACTCTAGAAATAATTTGAAAAGAGGAAATGTACCATGGAACCTCGGTTTTCATGATTAATTCGTTCCAGCATGTCTGATGAACTCCAAATTGTTTGAAAACTGAAACAATATTTCCCATTAGAATTAATGTAAATCCAATTAATCCGTTCCAGACACCCAGAAATATTAACAAAAAATGCATAAATATAAATGACCAATGAAATGGATAAATAAACATTTAACATCACTTTTACCTTTATTGAAGACTCTTGTTGGTGTATGGAAGATGGTGAGGAGGGGAGAGGGAGGAGGAGAGGTTATTCTTTGGAAAGGGAATCCCCCTCCAGAAGGACTTCAGGTATCAAGGCCCTATCCGGGGTTACTTCCCTTCTTTGTCTTTTACTGACACTAAGACCAGCTTGAGAGTCACTGGATCCCTGTCGCACAGAAAATCTGTCCAGAGGTCTGTTTCTCGTGTCTTTTTAAGATTTACCTAAAATGGGACAAGGTATTGTCATTGAACATGCTGTAGACACGACTTGCAACAGCTTTGTTAGGGTGATATTTCTCTGCAAAACTTTGCAACTCATTCCACTTTGCACACATGTCTTTAATCACTGAAGAAGGCACATTCTTCTGGCTCTCTTCCTCCTCCTCTGAAGCAATTTTCTCAGCTGTAGTCTGTTGCTGTTCCAGTTGAAGGTATTGCAGCTCTTCAGTGGTTAGCTCTTCGCTTTGGTCATCCACCAACTCTTCCACATCCTGGCCACTTACATCCAACCCCATGGACTTCCCCAAAGACACAATAGATTTCACAATAAGTGTAGGGCCATCAGGGTTGGCCTCAAACCCTTCAAAATTCTTCTCGAGACACATGGTGGCTTATTTAGCAGTCGCACTTCATAAGCAAGCACAAAAAACAATGGATTATTATGAAATGTTATCCGAACGAGCAGGATGATGTTCACTCAACAAGAAACAAAGCCAGACTGAGTCAGAATGCATGGGATGCTTTGTGTGGGCGCGAGGGCAGGCAGACGCATTTGGTATGGCAGACCATTGTCAACTCTACGAAAACAGAGCGGATGTACGAGAACTGGGACAAAATTTCAATGAAAAAAGTCGTCGAAAACCATGTGAAAACTGAGGTTCCACTGTAATTAACATTACTAGTATTTTCTTTATATTTAAAATTCATTCAGTGAATAAGGTACATGTGCAACATGAAGAGACCAAAGTGTTGCATATGTGTCTTAGTCCTCTACCTGTCAGCTTTGTCATTAATATAAAATTAAAATCCATTGTTTAAATTCTTAATAGCTTTATACAATTATATTGCCCAAAGTAAAATTTTGCAGTTTTCTTGTAATTATAGCAAAAATTATGAAGGGAAATAAAGTTTTTTCAATCAGCAGTGAATATCCACTTTATTAACTGTTATTAGTTAACTACTAAAATATCCCAGACATTTTCATTACTATGGTAAGTCTAAGTAGTCCTAGAATCTAAGATAATAGCTACTGGAGGAACACCATATATTATTTATTAATACTGTATAACTTCTTTAGCACCAGACTTCAAGTTAGTATCACTACTGATTATTTTCTTCCATTGGTATAAATTTTTCTAACATCAAACTCATCTGAACAAGTGAATGATAAGTGTTATTTTTCCAGATATCCCCAATATCTGTACTCAAAATGGATACATTTAATAACATTTGTATGTGTCTGTATTGTATTGCTTTGTCTGCCTTCGGAATTGTTAAGTAATAGATCCCCCTTTTTTTTGACACAAAAATGATTGTCAGTAGTTTAGCTTGCTTTCATCTTACACATTTATTCTTGTTGCCCAGATAAATTTAAGAACTTAACAGTGTATTATGGTAAGGTAACTTCACATATTACCACTGCATTTTTCTCCACAGAAAATTAACAGCATACTCTGACCATATGCCCTTATGGAAGAGTATGTACTGTAGGTAAGACACATATGCAACAGTTAGGTATCTTTATTATGAAACGTTTCGCCTACACAGTAGGCTTCTTCAGTCAAGTACAGAAAAGTTGATAGAAGCAGAAGATACTTGAAGACGATGTAATCAGTCCATCACCCTTAAAGGTTTGAGGTGGTCAGTCCCTCAGTCTGGAGAAGAGCATTGTTCCATAGTATGAAACAATATTGTTTCATACTATGGAACAATGCTCTTCTCCAGACTGAGGGACTGACCACCTCAAACCTTTAAGGGTGATGGACTGATTACATCGTCTTCAAGTATCTTCTGCTTCTATCAACTTTTCTGTACTTGACTGAAGAAGCCTACTGTGTAGGCGAAACGTTTCATAATAAAGATACCTAACTGTTGCATATGTGTCTTACCTAACAACCTGTCGGTATTTTATACCATTTTAATGTTCAGTATGTACTGTAGTTCATTTCTTAAGAAGGGTAACAGATTTAAGAAATAGCATACTTTTCTACAGAAGAGAAACACTTACATTAGTGTAGCCTTTACAGAAGAGTTTTTAGTTTTTATAGTGTAACTACTGATGATGCTATCCTGCCCTACAGGATGAAGATAACCCTTTGGAATGTAAAGTATGTTTCACCGAGTATGATGAAGAGCTACGTCGACCCCGTAATCTGCCATGTGGGCACACTTTCTGTACTAGTTGTATCACTGTTACTATTGGCAATAGTCGGCTCACCTGTCCCAACTGCCGTAAAGAACATTTTGCGACTTTTGCAACTGAGTTTCCTATCAGTTATTTGGCAGAGGCACTTATCAAATCTCTAAGAGCTGTTCGCATCTCTGTAACAACAGCAAAAAGACCTAGACGAGATAGTCCTAAAATCATCAGTAAGAAACTGGAGTCGCTAAGATGTGATCAAGAAAATATTGTCCGAACGTGGATTACCAACTGCCAGCAGTCAAGAAGTCAACTGGATTATTATGAGGAACAAATCATTAAATGGAAGGAAGACCATAATGATCTTTTGGTTCAAATTGAGAGAGTGGCTCAACAGAACAAGACATCACTAAACGACTTGGAAGAGGAGCACCGCAGCTTAATTGACTTGCGACAAAGTGGGATGGAAGAGGAGAGACGTCTAGAAGCTGTTCTTAATTGTCTGACTCAAGCAGACTCTGCCCAAGAGGTTGATACTGCCATTGATGATGCTGAGGTTTGTGGTGTTGCAGCACAAGACTGGAATGACAAGTGTCAGAAGTCCTTCCCCAGCATTTCAACTGTTCACACTTCCTTGTTGGTAGGCTTCTTAAGCTATTTCTTCACTTTGTTAAAATAATTTTCTTTATATATTTCTGTATACTTATTTTAGTTAACATATTTCTCAATTTCTAACACTTAACATTACAGTTATTTACATTTGAATGTGAAAGATTTGCATTAGCTTTTATAATGTCTTTCATAAAATTATTATGTGTTTTGTTATGCTCTTGACAATGTAAAGCATTTAATTATGGCTCATATAATAAGAAATAAATAGTTGAAAACAATAAGAATTACCTCTGCAATTTCTGATTGCAAGACAATGAGCCCATGTATTAAATGGTAATCTTTCTTTCAACACACCGGCCGTATCCCATCGAGGTGGGGTGGCCCAAAAGGAAAAACGAAAGTTTCTCCTTTCAAATTTAGTAATATATACAGGAGAAGGGGTTACCAGCCCCTTGCTCCCGGCATTTCAGTCGCCTCTTACGACATGCATGGCTTACGGAGGAAGAATTCTGTTCCACTTCCCCATGGAGGTAAGAGGAAATAAACAAAAACAAGAACTAGAAAGAAAATAGCAGAAAACCCAGAGAGGGGCATATATATATATGCTTGTACATGTATGTGTAGTGTGACCTAAGTGTAAGTAAAAGTAGCAAAACGTACCTGAAATCTTGCATGTTTATGAGACAGACAAAAGACACCAGCAATCCTACCATCATGTAAAACAATTACAGGCTTTCGTTTCACACTCACTTGGCAGAACGGTAGTACCTCCCTGGGCGGTTGCTGTCTACCAACCTACTACCTAGATTAAATGGTAATATATACTGATATTATGATGATGATAATGACACACTGTGAGGGTTATGGTACTTTATTATAAGGAAATGTCTTCTAGTTGAATACCATACCCTATACACTGTATCATTATCGTCACCGTGTGCCCATATTGGAATTGACATCACCAACTCTAACTTGTAACTTGCCTAATAGCTGTTGTTTTGGGGTTAAGTTGTGCTCAGAGACTAGTCTGACCTTAATGATATCTTCCCCATTCCACTTGTTATTTTCTCACTGCTATGTGGACAAAACCCCTCTTTGCTCATGTATTAATTCTTCGCTTACGCCGTGATTGGATGGACACCTCTGAGCCATCTTGATTTCTATGATTGACAGCAGTCCTTACTGCCCTTCAGCATTCTGTGGTGTACAACCAGTTGCTTAATTTAATGCAACAGACATATTATCTGCCAGACATTTTTGCTGTGCCAAGTAGCATCAGCCACTCCATCAGCCATTTTCATATATATACTGTACATAGTGTAAGTAGGGCCCCTTTATGGGACCTGTTTTGTGTTGGGTGGCCTAGGGCACTCCTTATATAGCTCTTTCTTATGTATGTATATCATAAATAAACCTTACATGAGCAATGTTGGGGCATTTCCAGCCAACTCTATACATGTATTTATGTTTTTACCTTAAAAGAGAGTAAGCAGCCTGTTTGGGGGGGTGGCATGTACAGTGTAAGCTCTGATATGGCAATTGTCATTCAGTTTGCCCCTCTGAAATTTTAGCCCTTCAACTGTGACCCACATAAATTTACACAGGATGAAGCTGTGTTCTACATAAATTTATTAATAATTTTCATGCCTTCAAATCTGCCCCATTGACATTTTATGCCTTGGCTTATCTGACTGGATGTGCACCACCTTGTGTTATCTGTGAAGAAATGTAGGGTCAGCCAGGTCCATGCAGTGCTTTATAGGTAACAGTGCTTCTTAACCACCTAACTTCAGTACCACTGAAGGTGGTACTGAAGTTAGGTGGTGCTGTGGTTGTCTATTTACTCTTAGCAGACTATTTCTGGTATTAATGAATGTCCTCATGACTAGGTACGGGAGGCCACCCGGAAGGCCCTGGAGGTGATCAAGAGTGAGTCTGGTGGAGCTGTGGCTGCTCCTACCCTTCTGGAAAATTCTGCCGTCACTATCCGAGAAAAAATTCACCAGATTATAGGAAATGCTTCACAAATGGAGAGTGCACCACAGTCAATGAGTATCCAAGAGAAAATAACTGAATATACTGTAAGTTAGTAATGTTTTTGGCCCAATAATTTCTATAGACTTATTCTCCAGGTACAGTCCTGGCCACCAGTCATTAGTAGTTTACATATTTACCAAGGATAGACTAATAGATCCTGCTATCACCAGGGCTTCTATAAATGCCTTAAAAAATTTATTTAATAAGTCAGCTAATTAAATAGAAGCCCAGAAAAATTCTCTGTCCAGGATGTATAGGAAATGAAAGACAACCAATAACTTGTCTATCTAACCTTTTAGAATTTTTATTTATATGTTTTTAAGTGCCACTTAAATATTATTTATAATTATATTTTATTTTATAGTAGAGCAAGTCCCTGCTTTATGAGTGTTCACATAATAGAATTCACATAAATAATAAATTAATAAATAGGTAAATGAATTTATATTTTGAAAAATAATCTGTTGTTACAAAATTAGTGACATTTATATCAATTTATTTAAAGCCTCTGGTACTGCAGAGCATTTTAGACAAACTTAAAATAGAATTTAAAACCAACCTGACATTGTTAAGAGTAAGACGGAGAATAGGATAGCATATGAACAAGGAGGCTTTAGGAAAGGTAGGGGGTGTGTGGACCCGGTGTTTACAGTGAAACATATAAGTGAACAGTATTTAGATAAGGCTAAAGAGGTCTTTGTGGCATTTATGGATTTGGAAAAGGCGTATGACAGGGTGGATAGGGGGGCAATGTGGCAGATGTTGCAGGTGTATGGTGTAGGAGGTAGGTTACTGAAAGCAGTGAAGAGTTTTTACGAGGATAGTGAGGCTCAAGTTAGAGTATGTAGGAAAGAGGGAAATTATTTCCCAGTAAAAGTAGGCCTTAGACAAGGATGTGTGATGTCACCGTGGTTGTTTAACCCATTGACTGTCGCGGCCGTATGTATACGTCTTACGAGGTACCGTGTTTGACGTATATATACTCATAAATTCTAGCGGCTTCAAATCAAGCAGGAGAAAGCTGGTAGGCCCACATGTGAGAGAATGGGTCTGTGTGGTCAGTGTGCACCATATAAAAAAAATCCTGGAGCACGCAGTGCATAATGGGAAAAAAAAAACTCCGACTGTTTTTTTTAATTAAAATGCCGACTTTGTGGTCTATTTTCGTATAGTATTTATGGTTGTATTCTCGTTTTCTTGGTCTCATTTGATAGAATTGTAAACATATTATAGAAATAGAGGTGATTTTGATTGATTTTACTATAAAAAGAACCTAGAAATGGAGCTCAAAGTAGGGGAAATGTTTGATTTTTGCCAATGTTCAAAAGTAAACAAATGATCCCATTGTCCAATAAATGTCCAACTAGCCATTCTAATATGCAGTCATGAATGGGTTGATGTTATTTATACAATTATTACAGTATTGCAGTAGTCTGCATAATAGTAAGTCTTCAATTTTTTGTTTGAATAAAAATTCAAAATAGAAAGCAAGAGTAATATCAGAGGGGCCTGGAGACATGACTGATGAACAAAGAAAATGTTATTTTAGAGCCAGGAATGTCTGCATTGTTCATTCTGGACCTTATTTTGAAATTGTCATATTTTTTAGTTTTTGTGAAATTGGCCAAATTGCAAATTTCTGACCACATTATTAGGTAGTTGAAATCGGTAAATGGGCAGTTTCTTGTACTCAATCGATAGAAAAAATGGAGTTCTAAAGAATTAGCTATGAGTTTGGTCGACTGGAACAATGCAATTAGCCGAAAATAGGGCTCAAAGTGGGCGAAATCGCCGATTTGTAAACAGCGCCAAGGTCGCTAACTTCGCGAGTGTGTAATTCCGTCAGTTTTCCATCAAATTTCGTTTTTTTGGTGTCATTACAATCGGGAAAAGATTCTCTATCATTTCATAAGAAAAAATATTTTTTTTTTTTAAATTTTGCGACACCCGGAGACAGACACCTCAGGATTGGGGGTTGCGACAGTCAAAGGGTTAATATATTTATAGATGGGGTTGTAAGAGAAGTAAATGCGAGGGTCTTGGCAAGAGGCGTGGAGTTAAAAGATAAAGAATCACACATAAAGTGGGAGTTGTCACAGTTGCTCTTTGCTGATGACACTGTGCTCTTGGGAGATTCTGAAGAGAAGTTGCAGAGATTGGTGGATGAATTTGGTAGGGTGTGCAAAAGAAGAAAATTAAAAGTGAATACAGGAAAGAGTAAGGTTATGAGGATAAAAAGATTAGGTGATGAAAGATTGGATATCAGATTGGAGAGAGAGAGTATGGAGGAGGTGAATGTATTCAGATATATGGGAGTGGACGTGTCAGCGGATGGGTCTATGAAAGATGAGGTGAATCATAGAATTGATGAGGGGAAAAGGGTGGAGTGGTGCACTTAGGAGTCTGTGGAGACAAAGAACTTTGTCCTTGGAGGCAAAGAGGGGAATGTATGAGAGTATAGTTTTACCAACGCTCTTATATGGGTGTGAAGCATGGGTGATGAATGTTGCAGCGAGGAGAAGGCTGGAGGCAGTGGAGATGTCATGTCTGAGGGCAATGTGTGGTGTGAATATAATGCAGAGAATTCGTAGTTTGGAAGTTAGGAGGAGGTGCGGGATTACCAAAACTGTTGTCCAGAGGGCTGAGGAAGGGTTGTTGAGGTGGTTCGGACATGTAGAGAGAATGGAGCGAAACAGAGTGACTTCAAGAGTGTATCAGTCTATAGTGGAAGGAAGGCGGGGTAGGGGTCGGCCTAGGAAAGGTTGGAGGGAGGGGGTAAAGGAGGTTTTGTGTGCGAGGGGCTTGGACTTCCAGCAAGCATGCGTGAGCGTGTTTGATAGGAGTGAATGGAGACAAATGGTATTTAATACTTGACGTGCTGTTGGAGTGTGAGCAAAGTAACATTTATGAAGGGGTTCAGGGAAACCGGCAGGCCAGACTTGAGTCCTGGAGATGGGAAGTACAGTGCCTGCACTCTGAAGGAGGGGTGTTAATGTTGCAGTTTAAAAACTGTAGTGTAAAGCACCCTTCTGGCAAGACAGTGATGGAGTGAATGATGGTGAAAGTTTTTCTTTTTCGGGCCACCCTGCCTTGGTGGGAATTGGCCAGTGTGATAATAATAAAAAAATATTATTTAAATGCTAAGCATTTAATAATAATATCTTTAGACAATTGAGTTGTCTAAATATAAGATTATTAAATGTAATGTAATGTGGCCCGGTGGCCTGGTGGCTAAAGCTCCCGCTTCACACGCGGAGGGCCAGGGTTCGATTCCCGGCAGGTGGAAACATTTCGACACGTTTCCTCACACCTGTTGTCCTGTTCACCTAGCAGCAAATAGGTACCTGGGTGTTAGTCGACTGGTGTGGGTCGCATCCTGGGGGACAAGATTAAGGACCCCAATGGAAATAAGTTAGACAGTCCTCGATGACGCACTGACTTTCTTGGGTTATCCTGGGTGGCTAACCCTCCGGAGTTAAAAATCCGAACGAAATCTTATCTTATCTTATCTCTTATGAATTCTTTTGCAGTAAAACTCTCTATTAAAACAGAACACTAGTTATATGAAGTAATATTAATGCAAAATAGTACAGCAACACCATGCATGGTACAATTAATGCATGTCAGAAAAAAATATCGTATTATGCAATACCATACTGATCAAGGTATTATTATAACGTGATTTGACGTAATGTGTTCCAACAATATGATTAAATGCATCAGATTGCAAAAATATTTACTGTTTGCTTAGTAGAGAATGGAGCAAAATAGAATGACTTGGAGGGTGTATAAGTCTGTAGTAGAGGGGAGGAGGGGTAGGGGTCATCCTGGGAAAGGATGGAGGGAATGGGTGAAAGAGGTTTTGTGTGCAAGGGGCTTGGACATGCAGCAGGCATGTGTGAGAGGCTTAAATGGAGATGAATGGTTTTTGGGACCTGACAAGCTGTTGGAGTGTGAGCAGAGTAATATTTTGTGAAGGGATTCAGGTAAACCAGTTAGCAAGACTCGAGTCCTAGAGGTGGGAAGTACAATACCTACACTTTAAAGGAGGGGTTTGGGATACTGGCTATTTGGAGTGACATCTAAACTCTCATATCTGAGTGCCTCTGCAAAGACAGTGATTATGCGTGAATGATGGTGAAAGTGTTTCTTTTTTGGGTCACCCTGCCTTGGTGGGGGACAATAGGCATGTTAAAAAATGAAAAAATAGTAGTACCGAAGATTTTTATTGCAGTTATAAATAAACAATGTACATACCATGTTTTTTATTTTGAAAAATAGTTGAACAACGTAGTTTGCAAAGTTTTTTCTTTTTATCAGCATACATATCTATAGCATTGAATATCATTTTGTAATGCCTTGTTCAGTGTTTGGATCCGCATTCATTATGAAGTCAAAAGCATCTTCTGTCTTCGCAATTAATGTATTTATAATGTATTTATAGAGGGGGTAGTAAGAGAAGTAAATGCGAGGGTCTTGGCAAGAGGCGTGGAGTTAAAAGATAAAGAATCACACATAAAGTGGGAGTTGTCACAGTTGCTCTTTGCTGATGACACTGTGCTCTTGGGAGATTCTGAAGAGAAGTTGCAGAGGTTGGTGGATGAATTTGGGAGGGCATGTAAAAGAAGAAAATTAAAAGTGAATACAGGAAAGAGTAAGGTTATGAGGATAACAAAAGATTAGGTGATGAAAGATTGGATATCAGATTGGAGGGAGAGAGTATGGAGGAGGTGAATGTATTCAGATATTTGGGAGTGGACATGTCAGCGGATGGGTCTATGAAAGATGAGGTGAATCATAGAATTGATGAGGGGAAAAGGGTGAGCGGTGCACTTAGGAGTCTGTGGAGACAAAGAACTTTGTCCTTGGAGGCAAAGAGGGGAATGTATGAGAGTATAGTTTTACCAACGCTCTTATATGGGTGTAAAGCATGGGTGATGAATGTTGCAGCGAGGAGAAGGCTGGAGGCAGTGGAGATGTCATATCTGAGGGCAATGTGTGGTGTAAATATAATGCTGAGAATTCGTAGTTTGGAAGTTAGGAG